TTGTCAGATTTGCTCTAAATGCTTTGGTTTCAGAGATATGAGCCAAAAACTGCATTTTACCCTATGAACTATTTTTTAGCCATGTCGGCCATCTTGGTTCGCAGGCGGGTCATCGGACACATTTTTTAAACTAGATACCCTAATGATGATTGTGGACAAGTTTGGTTAAATTTGTCTTAGTAGTTTCAGAGGAGAAGATTTTTGTAAAAGATTACAAAAATTTACGAAAAATGGTTAAAAATTGACTATAAAGGGCAATAACTCCTTAAGGGGTCAACTGACCATTTTGGTCATGTTGACTTATTTGTAGATCTTACTTTGCTGAACATTATTGCTGTTTACAGTTTATCTCTTTCCATAATAATATTCAAGACAATAACCAAAAACGGCAAAATTTCCTTAAAATTACCAATTCAGGGGCAGCAACCCAACAACGGGTTTTCAGATTCATCTGAAAATTTCAGGGCAGATAGATCTTGACCTGATAAACAATTTTACCCCATGTCAGATTTGCTCTAAATGCTTTGGTTTCAGAGATATAAGCCAAAATCTACATTTTACCCCTATGTTCTATTTTTAGCCATGGCGGCCATCTTGGTTAGTTGGCCGGGTCACCGGACACATTTTTTAAACTAGATACCCTATTGATGATTGTGGACAAGTTTGGTCAAGTTTGGCCCAGTAGTTTCAGAGGAGAAGATTTTTGTAAAAGTTTACGGACGACGGACGACGGACGCCAAGTGATGAGAAAAGCTCACTTGGCCCTTTGGGCCAGGTGAGCTAAAAAGCTTGAAAAGATACAACGTCAAGCGGCAAAATCTATCACCAGAAATTACAAGTCAAGAGAGGATGGACGGGATACGTCTCTAAAATGCTTGCCTAACTGGAACTACAACAAGATCTCCAGACAAGACGAACAAGGAGTTGAAGCCAGAAGTTAATATTTATGTAAAAAGTAGTTGAGGGGCTGATTCCCGCTATTGAACCATACTGTCATTCTATAATATTATTGCGTAAGTATTTCTGTATTGTCCTTGTTATTGGTCCATGTCTTGGTGTATTGGTCTGAGGCGAAGCCGAAGGCCAATACTGCTGGCCGAGGACCAACAATAAGGCCAATACAGAAATACATGTAATAGTATCTTTATTAATTAACTACAGTGTTACAATATTTTTTTATTTCATTTCACAAGAGATAAACATTTTTACCTTGAAGTGGAACTATCCAAATCTCAGTTTCTTTTTATAAGATGCAATATCTAATGATTTGGTGCCGTTTCCATGCATCTTCAGCCTTTTCTCATCTGATGAATTTTTCTACCCTTTCCAGTCACTATAAAGTGTTACAACTTTAATTTAGACACAACACATAAATTGTAATTGGAAAGGTACTGCCATTGCATGTGTAATGCAAATATATTTAAAAAAAAAATAATGTAAGAGTTGAAATTGATACAACTATCCATAAGCCAATTGACCAAAGAACGAAGATTTGCGCAATTACAGAATGCATATGCCTGGTTCGTGTTTAAAAATAAAAGACCGTTTACAAAACACGAGAAGCGAAAGTGAACAGTAAAAATCGATATGATGAAATTATGAGGTCGTCAAGAAATGAACTTTGTGATAATTTACTCGTTCCCTAAACCTGAATAATTCCATCGTCTACTTTCAAAATGCTTTTCAAATGAATGGGACCGTCTTTAACCTAAAATATATGCCATACTGAACGTTTCAGCTTGTTTATGGTGAGTTAATAAAAACTGCGTCGTACAAACAACTGTTTACTTTCAGTTTGAGTTTATCGTGACTTACGATCTAAAAACTAGAGACGTTCCGAAATCCTGTTTTGGCCGGATCAGAACTCGGCCAATACGGAAAAAAAATCTGTATTGGCCGAGTTGACATCTTATATTGCATCTGCAGTTTTCATCATTTTAAGTACAATAACAGTGTAGTTAATTTATAATGATACAGTTACAGACTCTGCTGCTATAACTTTGTGAACAAAGATTCATACGCACCGCGTGGGTATAACCGTATTACTAATTTCCGATTATTAAAATCTTCGTAAATCTTCATAAAGACCAGTTTCTATCCAATGGATATCAAAATGATTCCGATTATTACTTTTTTAATGATTGTAAAGTTGAAATGGCATGAAAGGCTGACATTATTTAGGAAAACTATTTTGTCTAGCGATTGCTGATCATTGGAGGGTAAAAAGTCCAACACCATAACAAAACGGATCTATTTATCATGTATACATACCGATTGTTTACGATTGTAAGACATGTGAATAAAAGTGAAAGCTCGAATAAATATGAAAAATATAACAAAGGGATAGCTCCAAATACCATTTAATAACAAAAAACATATGGACAGGTCAAGATATCTTTTTGGTAAATAAAATAACGTATGTAAACTGGTTCCCGTCCGACTACAACACTTTAACAAAGACTTTGTTCGAGTGTAGCGTAATACAAGCAGATTCCAGTTAGTATGTAAAATAGTAAATATGAAACCGAGTGCGGTAGGCGGAGGCATAATCAACTTCCGTTAGTTCTGGTCAATGGTATCGGAAACATGCCGCTGATAGCGTCATTTTCCAAAAACAATCCATGTATACACAATGTTCTTAACACTAGATTCAATCTAGAATCTAGGCAGTTCAAAGTTGGTTGTATGATGCCTCAATTTCATCAAAGTCATAAAAAAACTGATTTTCAACTGACACCCTATCAATTTGAAAATATATGTATCTCAAACAATGTGCTGCTGGACCAAGTGTGGTCAAAACAAATAAAAATTTAGGATACAACTCTAAACCGGTATAAAAATGCATGGCTGTGTCACGTGTCTTCATTTCAAAATTCTCTGCTGAAAACATAGGCATTGATGGTGTTTGCGTAATTCCATCTGTGAAGCTCAACATTAGCTCGGCAGTTGGTGGTGGACAGTCATAAATCCTTTCTGCAGTATGAATGACTTCTTCAGGAAAACCAACTTTACAATCAAAACTTTCCTCTAGATTTCTACTACAATATTCATCAAGTTTAGTTCTTTTGTTTTCACAGGAAACTGCCCTGATTTTTCTTTTTGCGGACGATTCAGTCTCTTGCTTGGTCCAGGAAAATAGGCTGGGAATGGCAGTAGACTTAAGTCTCTGTATGGTGGGTTTGCGCCCTGAAAAAGGTTATAAAACATTAGTTTTTTGATAATTTAATGAACTTCCATTAGCAATGTATACTTTTTACTACCTGGCGAAATATTAACTAGATTTATTCATTACAATCTGGATAAAACTATGTTTGCTTGATTCAATGTATGTTATGTAAATCCAAAGGACAAACAATGAGAGACTTATGCAACAAACGTACATTGTTTGTACCTAAATAACTATAATATAGATGAGAGCATGTCATTGTTTTGTTCCTGTTAACATTGTCATTGATATTTTTCAAGAAAGTCTATGAGGCATAGCTTATGCATTCCTGTCATTACTACATTAGCATAATTACTGCTAAAATAATTCTCAGTATGATATACCTCTTGTAAGAAATCATTATAATTGTAGCAATCACCAAAAAATCTCAAACAGATCACATTGAATCGTAATCCAAAAAATTATGACGTCTTGAATTACCCACCCCCTTTTATTCTAAAACGATAATTGCGGTTGTAAACAGACTTTGGTTTATTCGCATGGCGATAACATATATAACAATATATTTCACAAAGAAAATAGAGTTTTACCATGAATAGTTTCCTGCACGTAGTCTTTTTCAGTAAAACGTGCCTTGCAAACAACAGCTGATTGAGATGGACTCCACGATATCATCGTGTTCTCGTCCAATCTGCGTATGGGCCATGGCGTTGATCCAACTTTTCCTTCTTTTTAAGTCATTTGGAAATGCATGTCCTCCTCTTAAATGACATCAAGGTACACAACAACAAGTACTTGGCATCGTTAATTAAAAATATAACTGAAATAGTTTCACAGTGCAGAAACCGGAAGTAGAGGAACAGGATCCGCTACCACGGCGCCACCTATTCAGGAACGATAATTTGCTACTTTATATAACTGCGAAATTACAATAACGTTAGACGGGTTCTCGTGCATAAACAGAAATTCGCTTTAAATTGTATAATATAATTCATGTTCAGTCGACCTTTAATTATTATATCAACGACTGAAATGATTTATAAACATCTAGATTGCAGATAACACTCGAAATTAACCCGAGCTCTTTCCACACGGAATTCAAATAATTCTAGTTTGTCAATCGGTTGACTGCTTATAATGCAAAATACTAATATATCAAAAGTTTTTATAAAAATAAAACACAATGATCGTTTCTCTATTTCCCAATGTAAATGAAATGAAACAAAAAACATTTTATATCGCAATAAGAAGAGGAGAGAATTCAACATTTCCGGATCTACTTGGAGCCTAATGACCCCCCACGTAGATAAGTTGGATATCGCGGAAGGAAGGATTAACCCGGCAACTAGAAAGGCATTAAAGCACTGCCTTTAAAAATAAGATGTGGTGTGATTGCCAATGAGACAACTCTACCAAATGAAATGATGAAATGATGATGAAGTTAGCAACTTTAGGGCACCATTCTGCCTTTAACAAGGAGCAAAACCCATAATGTGTAGCACAGCATAATGTCATTTTCAGAAAAAAAAACATTTGGTGGAATCAGCTTTGGTTTTGGCCTGCAACCTATGTCACAGAATGCAAGACATAGGGATACTTATATGGTTGTGGTGGGGTTAACTCTACATATAGCTTTACATTTCAGAAGGTAGAAGACCTCGATACTTCATATCTTGTATACAGATGCCATATGTTAATAGTCTGTAATCTTCATTGACTAGGATGGCCAGTTTTCAAGCTGAAGGTTGTCTGATAACTATGTAATTCTGAAAACTATGAATATCAACATCTGAAGAGAGAATTTTCCAATTGCAAAGTAATTTAATAAACACTGTTTAATTTTAATATTTTATTAGATTTACAATGTAGAGATTAACAAAACAACAACAATAATAATAGACATGTATAATAATGATTATTTTGCTGCTTTATAAAATGATATAGAAAATTAATGTTATCAAAATAAAATGACAGACATATATAGGACATCAATATAAAACAATACAGTAAAGATAATAACAGACATATATAGATAGGACATAAAAATAAATGGATCAAAATATAAATATGACCTCAATGTATAAAACATACATAGTATAAGAGGAACAATTATTAGCATCAAATAAATAGGATACAACCAAGATCTAGCCATAAACCAAACTATTAACAGAACCTATAATGCACAACTCCACATATTAAAAATCTGTCTAACTTTGGACAGAATCGACTAACATCATCTTTGGAATATAAAGGCAGCAGAAAATCTGGCAAGAATTAATGATATTCAGCTATCAACAAGATTTCATGTGATTAAATGGACTGAGAATTAAATGGTACAACAAAGAACCAAAACGGCAGTTAGAAAAACACATAAAATATAAAGTACCAATCTAGTCGGAATATATTTTATATCCACATGATAGTCAATTTTCAAATTAGGAACTCAAATTCTATATTTTTATGCCAATATATGAAATCGACAAAATCTTCAACAGAGACTACTATAAACCCCCAAAATGTATGTAAATAAGCCATTAAAAAAACACCTGAAGAGTCAGCATTAAAACATTCTAAAATACCAATATACAAGATGAGCAAAATAAAACATGTATAACATTGATCATATTCTTTAACTACAAATACAGCGACTATTGGTACTTTAACGGCACTGAGAAGAAAAGTAAGGTAAATTTGACAGCAACCAAACAAAGATAAAACTACCCAGTATTTAAATTATACATTATTTTCTAATTATACAAAGAAATTTAAGCTAGTTTATATTTTGGCTTTGAAAATAATACAGGAATTTATGTTTTGATAAAAAATATTTGTAAATTTGAAAAAGGCACCAAAACTAATCAGTAGCACCAAGCAAAGACATGTTCTAATTTCTGTCAGATATTTATATCATTTTATGAAAATACTGATTTGTCAACAACATACATACTTTGAATATCTGTTTGAAATACAAAAATATTCAATTGTGATTTAGAATAAGCCATGATATATTTCTGTGAGGAATTTTCCTGGCCACAAAAAGGTGTTGTACAAAGTTATTACATATATTGGAATAAAAATCATTTATTAACTTAGACAGTAATCAACTTGTCTTTTATTATTTCTTATATATGAGAAATAGTGGTGCCACATAAAAAAGACATCATGATAAAAGTTGGAAAGTTTGGAACAATTTTATAGCTTGTTGTATTGTACTGTTAAAAAATTGTCCCAGATTAGGTTAAGCTAGAGGTTTGAAATTTAATATATTGCATTCTCCCCTATCCTAACCTATTACTAATAACCCTGACCTTTTCTATTAATAAATATATTCCGGGTTTAATATCTAACCTTGTATCTTGTTCTAGTTCTTAACCTAATTATATGTCTGATTCTAAACTTAACCCTAAACTACTGTCAATAAAGGTTTACATGACATTAAGGATTATTTTCAGAAAAAATGGTTAAATTATTATATAAAAACACTGAACACTTATATGGTTGTTAAACACTTTCAAGGAATGGACAACAAAAGTATAAATAATACACAATACAAGGAATGTTTATTGCTTTCATCCTGACAGAAAGGGTAAGGGTTGTTGACTTCAAGGGGTTTGTTTTATTCCTGACAGGATAAACTTTGGTTAACATGATAGTGGTGTTTCGTATGCAATAAAATACTGTTTCAATCAAACATCTTACTTTTGTTACCAATTCAATTTATTTCTTCTCTAATTCTTACTTAGTTTTTTTGGTTGGCATAAATCGTTTGTTTTCTTCTGTAACAGCCTTTTATAGCTGACTATACAATATGAATTTGCTCATTGTTTAAAGCCGTACGGTGACCAATAATTACTTAAATCCACATCATTTGTGGACTGTGGTGGACAGTTATCACTTTGGCAACTTCTCCTTATTTTACATTCTCCTTATTTTACATTCTAACTGGATTTAACAATACTAAATAGTACAATTCTAAACTGTCTTTTTCACTGCCAGTTTAATGACTGTTTTTGTAGTAAAAGTTCAATATAATATTTAGTATAAATAAAGCAGATTATTTAGCCATTCCATGTATAGTAATATATCTTATACAGCTCTATATTTTTATAAGTCATGTGACTAAAGTTCTGTGTGAGGTCATGTACTATCAGTAGTAGCACCATAATTCTGTTGTTGCTGGTCCCCTTCACTAAACAGTGTATCATCTGAAGCATGGTATACTACATCAGTAGGGAGGATGGGTTCCCTGTCTGTGTCTGTCAGGTGACTCACTTCACCTTTTGGCTGGACCTCTCCAACATTTATTGTGGCAAATAACCATGCTAAAAATAGAACATTTAAAATAGTAAAGATTATCAAACGTTTGTACTTTGTTTTTCAATTTCAACTATACATATTTTTAAGACTAATGATATCCATCTTTATACAATTCTGATTTCAATATTTTTGATTCGGTAAACAGCTGATGTTTTTGTCTAATGTTCTTACTCTGTAAAATACATTAAGATTAACAAAACCTGTGAAAAGTATCGTCTTCATACTTATGTGAAATTAGTCCTTTAAATAGTTTTTAGAGGTGTTCATGATAAGTTCAATGTTTGTCTTAACGTCAATAATTATTGATTTTGATTTGGTTTGTAGCTTAACAGAACCCCTGGATACTTATATATTTATCTTGTTTTTCTGGTGTTTATTCATTGTAAGAACCTCTAGTATTTACATAGAAAGATATTAGATCAGAATCGTGTTATAATGGTGATCACTCGAGGTTTCATGTACAAATTTCTTATCTCCTATTATGTTGAAAACACTCAAACTTACACCAAAATAGACTACTGTTGCCCATGCAATTGTATCTAAAAAAAATTTTAACTTATATACCTTAAAATAACATGAGGTACCAAACTTGTATTTTAAAGAAATGACACTTGGTCTCAATTTTTTGTTATATCATTCACTGTAATGTTGAAATTGCCATGTAGATGTGAAAAGACAAAATAATTTACGGTTAATCTACTTGGAAAGCCTGCTACAAATGATTCCAACAAGAGTAATAGACGTGTCATACATCATTTTGAATAATTTAATGTAGATTACGACAAAACAAGTTTCTGTTGGATAGACAACCTTGGAATCTAAATAAAACGAAAGTTCGCAACCGAGTGTCATTTCTCAAAATCACGTTGGGTGCCTTGATTTATGTTAAGGTATATACATAATTTTTTTAAGAGAGAAGTGCCTGAAGTCTTAAGGGGCTCACTACGGGTTTCCTCCATAAAATCTATGAACACCTAATACTTACATGGAAATAAACTTGGTGAGACTTGTTGACTATGTTCTGTGTTATTAAGGAGCTCACTATGGGTTTCCTCCATAAAATCTATGAACACCTAATACTTACATGGAAATAAACTTGGTGAGACTTGTTGACTATGTTCTGTGTTATTAAGGAGCTCACTATGGGTTTCCTCCATAAAATCTATGAACACCTAATACTTACATGGAAATAAACTTGGTGAGACTTGTTGACTATGTTCTGTGTTATTAAGGAGCTCACTATGGGTTTCCTCCATAAAATCTATGAACACCTAATACTTACATGGAAATAAACTTGGTGAGACTTGTTGACTATATATGTTCTGTGTTATTAAGGAGCTCACTATGGGTTTCCTCCATAAAATCTATGAACACCTAATACTTACATGGAAATAAACTTGGTGAGACTTGTTGACTATGTTCTGTGTTATTAAGGAGCTCACTATGGGTTTCCTCCATAAAATCTATGAACACCTAATACTTACATGGAAATAAACTTGGTGAGACTTGTTGACTATGTTCTGTGTTATTAAGGGGCTCACTATGGGTTTCCTCCATAAAATCTATTAACACCTAATACTTACATGGAAATAAACTTGGTGAGACTTGTTGACTATGTTCTGTGTTATTAAGAGGCTCACTCTGGGTTTCCTCTATACTACCGGGTGTTTTACCAACTGTGATAAAATACACCCCAATAAATGACAGTATACAACTGAAAAGATATACAAATATTGAAAATTACAATAAATAAATTGCAGAATCACGATATAGTTCATCATGTGATTTTTAAAAAGACAAGATGTATTTTTTATAAATGTGACTCAGGGAATCTTCAAATCAGCAAACTTTAGAGCCAGATCTATCAAATAACATCCTTCAGATCAGCAAACTTTAGAGCCAGATCTATCAAATAACATTCTTCAGAGCAGCAAACTTTAGAGCCAGATCTATCAAATAACATCCTTCAGATCAGCAAACTTTAGAGCCAGATCTATCAAATAACATCCTTCAGAGCAGCAAACTTTAAAGCCAGATCTATCAAATAACATCCTTCAGAGCAGCAAACTTTAGAGCCAGATCTATCAAATAACATCCTTCAGATCAGCAAACTTTAGAGCCAGATCTATCAAATAACATCCTTCAGATGTCTATAAGACGTATGTCAGTATGCATTAAGGCTTCAAACTTTACTCATTTAATGCAAAACTGCATAAATTGCCAAAATAGCCTCATTTTGAGATATTGTTATTAATATTTAGATATGAGTCCAGGCTTTACTCCAAAAAAAATTTTGATAAAAGATGTACAAGATGGCAATTTTGGGTCAAATATGATTATATTGACACAACAACTTATATTTCTGAACTAAAGTGTCTTAATTATATTACCCTATTCATTTATCAAGAGAACTTACTTAATTTTGAATAGATTGTAGAATTTAACTATTTTTGCTGTTTTAAGGGCCAATAATTAATCTTTAAAATTTAATCAAAAACAATCGTGCTGAATCAGTCATACATGATGAAAAGGTTTTGTTCACAGTTTCAAATGCTTAATCAAACCCACAGGGGGGTCTCAACCTACTAATTTGCGTACAGACGTCATGCGGTTTAAAAAACACCCCCATTCATATATTGATTTACCGGTATGTGAAAATCCCTACCGGGTCTACCCATTCATATATATTTCATCAGAAAATCACAACTCATTTATATACATTTCCCAGCTATCGTGACATCTTATCTCAATGAGATGTTAACCACATGGATTCCGTGATTCATATCATGAGATAAAAGATCAGAACACAGTTTTTCCAGACATCTTAACCATGTCCTGTCTGTGTTTTCGTTAGATGTTTTCTGCTTTGTATTGATCAGATGAGTTAAGCCCTTTTCAACCGATTTTTATAGTTTGTTCTTATGTTGTACTGTTACACCACTGTCTTATGTTAGGGGGAGGGTTTTGGCCCCTTCAAACGAGTTTAACCCCATCATATTCTTTTTCGTAAATTGTTTTGTTTAATATTATTCACATCAGGGCCTTTTATAGCCGACAAATTGGTATGGGTTTATTCTCGTTGTTGAAGGCTGTAAGGTTGCCTATAATTGATTACATTCACTTCATTTGAACTTTGCTGGATAGTCCTTTCATTGGCAATTATACCACATCTCCTCATGATCAAACCCTTGGTCTGCATTACATCACGTCACATGAAGACATACTTGAAGTATATAATAAAGTGTATATGATACGACTTTTTCAATATCATACCTTGTATCAACCTTCAACCGATATAATTACTAGAGCAGAGCTCTTGGGTTTATATTGGTGTCTTCGGTTGATACGGGTTCGATATTGAAAAAAACCATATGATGTTCTCTATTTATCATACCTCCCCCTGCAAACTAGAAGGAGGACATTTAATAACTTACCCTACAAGAAACATACAAATTTCTAAACCATTCATTCCCCAAAATTCTTTGTAGAATATAATTCCTGTAATACAAATACATTTATTTAATCATAAGTTTAAGAATAACAATAATTTAACATCAGCCAGTTTTTAAATAAGTGGAAATTTTGACAATCACGTAATTACAGGAATAAGAATAAAATTCTTTGCTGAGCGCAGCTGGATACGACCGCAGAGGTCCAACCCTGAACAGTTGGGGAGAAAATAGACACAATATTCGTGCTTGATACAGGTCTGAATTTGGATTGTAATTAAATATTTGACACATAATAGGTTTCTGACACCGAATAACTGTAGTCAAAGAACTTAGAATTTGTTATATTCAATTTTTTGCTTTTATGCAATACACTATGCTGTTGCGAATTGACCCCCCCCCCCCCCCCCCCCCACAAAAACTAAAAAAAATTTACCCCCCTTTTTTTTGCTTTTGTGAAATACACTATGCTGTTGCATATTGACCCTTAACCCCCACCCCCACCCCCTTTTGTTTTGCAAAAAAAAAAAATTTAATTTCTGAAATCAGAAAAATAAATAAAAAAATTGCCCCCCACAATTTCTTTTTTACCCACCTCCCCATTTTCCCAAAAAAAAATTCTTTCCCTCGAGATATGGTCATAATCTCAATTCAAATTTCCAATGGAGTTTGCAACCATAATTACCAATTTAAATACATCATAAAAGTCTTAAATAGATATTTTAAAAGCAGTGTAAGGGAGGTATTCCAACATTGTACAACATTGTACAATTTTGTTTTTGGATTACCTCCCTTACACTGCTTTTAAATTGTCCATTAACCAGCAAACCCTTGTTTTTCCACTTTTTTGCCCCTAATTCCTAAACGGTTTGAGCCATAACCCCCCAAAGCCAATCCTAACCATCCCTTTGTGGTATTGAATCTTATGGTAAAATTTCACAGAGATCCATTAAACTAAAGTAATTGTGAGAAAAACAATGTGTCTCATTCCAATATACGACCGCAAAAATTGCGGTCGAATGCATAAAAATTTAACTGAAAAGCAACAAATTATTTCCTGAGAATTATATTACAGATTGCATTTCAATATCATAATGTTACAAATGTAACAAAAGCAAAAACCAAATTGATTACAGACAAATGTTCTAGGCATTCAGATTCATATGTACACTCACCTGCTAATATTGCACTAATAGTAAAGAACACAAAATGGGTTGGAACTACAACTGTAGAATTAAATTCTCTCATGGCCATATTCAAATACCTGAAAAATACAGACAAATACACTACAACTGTAGAAATAAATTCTCTCATGGCCATATTCAAATACCTAAAAAATACAACTAAAACTACAATTGTAGAATTAAATTCTCTCATAACCATGCTTACACCAGACAAGCTATAATTTTATTATGGTACAGAGGTTAAGGGGGAATAACTCATAAACTGAATCAGTAAAAATAGGATTAATTACCCTCAAGTCAGTCACCTTATATGTTGCTCTGCTCCTTGTAACTTCATTTGAGCATAGAAGTATCTTTTTATGTTCATAATTCCTCTAAAATTAACAAAAATGTCCCAGATATCAAAGAAACTTTATTTTATGACCGATCATTTTGTTCTTTAGTCAATAACTTCATATAACATGTCTAAAAGACAGACTTAAAAAATTCCACTTGGAAATGATATTACATACAAAATCAAAGCATTTAAATAACTTCATAATGTTAAAATAAATAAATAATCAATTACTTAGTGATAATTTTTCACTGGAAAAAAAAAGAAAGTTTGAAGTTAGGACCCTTGTCGATACCAGCTGGGACCACTTATGATTCTGACCCATGTGTCAGACATTAAATGTATGCCTCAACAGCATAAAGGCAGGTGAAAACATTGAAAATAGGGAGTTTGCAACCAGAAATTAAAAATGATTGACGGCATAATCTTGTTAATAAGTACTTAATATAAACTGGAGATTTTCTTACATAAAATAGGCCAATATCACAATATTTCGATATTATTTGTCATGAGGGAAAAAAAATTGTAACTTGGGGGTATGTCAGACATAGGGGAAGATTACCCTCTTGCAAAACAAAGTTAAACAGCTAAATAAGACTTTGTTGCTGTTGGCTGATCTCAGGTGCCTTTTTTATTTTATTCATAATGTTTCTATATAGACATTGATAATTTACAGTATGATAAAAGAGTATAGACTCTTGTCTATTGTTTGAGACCATATGTCATTGCTGTTTATTGTTCCCTTGGGGATCTGTCTCATTAATGTATACTCTAAATTCATATGCATTGATAACAATGACAACCATGTTGAACAGACCAGTGCAAACCACTTACTTGACTTGCACTAAATCACTGATCAATATTACAATAGCCATGATAAATCTCTCTCTTTTCATGTACAACAGCAATGATCACAAGGACAATGGCCATGGTGTATCACCAAGGATAAAACACTTAATTGACTTGCACTAAATCACTGATCAATATGACAATAGCCAGGATAAATCTCTCTCTTTTCATGTACAACAGCAATGATCACAAGGACAATGGCCATGGTGTATCACCAAGGATAAATCACTTACTTGACTTGTATAACAGCACTGACCACCATGGCAATAGCCATTATGTACAGACCAGGATATGACATTTGAGAATATCCCTCAAATGTTAACTGTAACATTCCCGATACTGCTTTCGCACAAATTACTGTTATTGAGGCTATAATAAAAAAGAAAAAAATTCTTTAAAACCCTTTTAAGCCAACATACTGTTGAAAAATAATGAAAAATTTTCTCCATGACATCAACTCCAAAATTGTTTATCATATTAGCATTTATATTAGCGTTTCTGTTGAATAAAGACTTTGGTGTGACAGCAGAATTTTTACAGTCTTTGTCAAAAGAGTAGGCCCAGTAAGACCCCTTTTTGGCCCCAAAATATAGCTATTTACAAAGTTGTTAAAATGAAAACTAAGCTATTTATTGGAAAGTAGAATACTTTTGTTACATAAATATGGGTTGTTTTCGTCCAATATAATGAACAAGCATCAGGTACTAGCTTCATTATTTCATGCAAAAATACTGAAATCTTCACAATTTTAGCATTTGTGCTAATTTTAAGACGGTTTTTGTCTAAAATGGAAGTGGCAGCACTTGTGTTCAGTCTTAATATTTAAATATAAGTTGTATCTAATGATAATACATCACATATATAAATGTTGAGACTGAACACGAATGGGGCCACTTTCATTTTAGACAAAAACCATTTGAAAAGTGACGTTTCATGGTATATTTTATAGATTTTTCATATTTAAGTTTGAATTTGAGCGTCTTTAATGACCAATTCAGTTCAAATTTTCAACATAAACTAATTAAATCGACTGAAGTAGACACTTTTAAGTGTTTAAAATCTTTCATCAGATGTACTTCGAGTCTTAGGCCGAAATTAGCCCTTATCGGACCTTCTCCTTTATTTATTACTTTTCTAGACTCTTACGATTTTTGAGCCTGGCAAATTGTAGATTGTTGTCTTGTTAGTAGATTGTATGGTGACTTCTACCATCATATGTGTTTTCTGATTATTGTGTTGTAGAATTGCTGTTAGTAGATTGTATGATGACTTCTACTATTGTGTTGTAGAATTGCTGTATCATTTATATATATATATCCCTGATTTTAACTATTATCATGTTCTTCTGTCAATAATGTTTGTCTAATCACTCTGATCCTATGAAAAACTACTTTGTTTTCCGGATAATATGAAAAATATTCTCTACAGAAAGTCCTGTGTGAATAATTATATGACTATAGCAACCAAAAAGACTTTTTTAAAGACTATCTACTGTAATTTAATTTCTTTACAGTCGAAGTTTCCAGAAAATGTGATAAAATATTGCTCAAACAATATTTATAAAATAAATGAAGACTGCTTTTAATTTTTGGGTGCATAAATGAACTGAGAAATTAAATTATTTCATGAATACTAGATTTCAGAACATTTATAAAGCTGATACAAAAGTGTCCACCTTTCAAAACTCAAATGTGGAGAATTCCCTCTTAAAAGGTGCTTTTGAAAAATTAGCTTAGATCTTATTTATTGTAAAAATTGTAGAGAAATTATGTGCACTATATGACAGTGTTTAAAGACACAGAAATGGAATAGAAAATGGAAACAGGAATGTGTCAAAGAGACAACATCCTGACCAAACAGCAGAAAAAAATCCAAGACCAACAATGGGTCTTCAATGCAAAGAGAAATCCCAAACCCAGAGGTGGGTTTCAGCTGGAACAGAAAGACCTCTTACGTATACTTACCAATTATATCTGCTATCAATAAATATATAACTACTTTCTTCATCTTAACTTTATATAACAGGAATAGTACAACTCCCAAAACTATAATTTCTATAATCTGAAATAAACAAAACTTAATAACCAGGTGGTTTGTTAACATCATAAGTAAATACATGACCTAGGTACTTTTAAAATTTCAGTTGTCTATTATAATTCTGTTGAAATATCAAGGTCAGTTTGTTTATTTTATGCTTCATATGTAGTTTCATAAACAATTCTTAAACTTATTTATCATTGCGAAACATATAATAATGTTTAAATAAATAACATTTTTCTCTTTACTGCATATTTAGAAATTTTTCTTTTTTTATAGTTTTGCTTCCTGTGCTGAATATATGGCACATCTTAACCTATTTCTGTTAAACACATACAAATCTGTCCATTTCTTAGTCTTTTAGGGTAAATACATTTATCATTTTAGCCTCACTCATACTTACAAAATATAAACTGTAAATGTCATGGTTTTTTTAGTCACTTCCATACTTAAAATACAAAACTATAAATGTCATGTTTTTTTTTAGCCACACCCATACTTAAAATATAAACTGTAAATGTCATGGTTTTTTTTAGCAACACACATACTTACAATATAAACTGTAAATGTCATGGTTTTTTTAGCCACACCCATACTTACATTGTGTACAATATAAACTGTAAATGTCATGGTTTTTTAGCTACACCCATACTTACAATATAAACTGTAAATGTCATGTTTTTTTTAGCCACACCCATACTTACAATATAAACTGTAAATGTCATGGTTTTTAATGCTTCTGTAACTTCACTTCCTTCAAATACCTTTTCTTTCTGTAAAATTAACATTTCTATAACAGTACCTGAATATCTGATTTTAATGATCAAGTACATTGTATTCATTACATAGGTTTTAGTTAAATATTAATATTTTGATTTAGATGCAAAAGCTTTTTCCTGAATAGAACTTAAGTTCTACAATTTTTTAAAGTAAAGTAACATATTCCTTACAACATAAGTAAAAGCTATAGAACAAAGCAATAAAATTCCTTTAAAATTGAATATGTAATCAAAATGTATCTAGTATGTTAACATAAATGTAAAGCAAGCTAAAGACTATACACTAAATGCATAATATTAAAAGACATAAAAATTAGCAAATTAAACCCCAAAAAAATATTAAACAAGCATCATATACTGTGGATTCATTTATTTTCGTGGGTATCAGTTTTTCGTTGATTCAGGACCACTTGCATTTTCGTGGATATTTGATTTTGTTGTTTTGCCAATCTCTGCATACAAGGTTTTTTAGAAAATTTGTCATTTGTTGAACATTTGAATTCGTGGTTGACCTATACCCACAAAACCCACGAAAATTGGTATCCCAGTAATAATAATGAATCCACAGTTATAGCATTCCTTATTACGACAGCTCTAATATCAACAAAGTGAAGGAAATGTAGCATTAATTGTATGCTTTTTAATTTCAATTATAAATATTCTAAGCAAATGCAAAGTTTTTTTCTAGCCAAGGAATAATTTCTAAAACTATGAAAACCTGTCACCAACTATAACTGAATCTTTTTGTCTATAGATCTTACATTTTATCACAGAATATCTGAAAAGTCAACTGTTTCATAAATGATACAGCTCAGTTATTAAAATAAAAGCATGCTGACATTGTAGAAAATAGATATCAAAACCAAGTATTTTTAGCTCTCTAGTGTTAACAGTACTACAGTACTTTGATGATTATAGGTAACACGTTCATAAATATCAAAATGCAAGCAAAGCAGCAATAGAGCATTCTCTGACACAAATTATTTGTGTAATCTTATATCGTTTGTTTAAGGGAAGTCTTTGGAATCGAGTGATTAATTCAAACGATTTACCTTATAATTATCTATAAATAAAAAAAATTTACATAAATGAATGAAACTCAAAAACAAGCTAGGCTTCAACAACTATCAATTTAACTAGAAGGCTATTACTAGTAATAGTCTCTGACAACAAACACCACTTTACATTATAAAATAAATGGGGAATGTGTCCATGGGACACAGATGATTGCTCGGCTTGCATACAACGTTATAAAGGGACATAATTCAAGAACAGTAAAATTGACACTACCCATATTTGTACTTGATCTGACTTTTGTGGTAATAAGCATTGTGTATAAGTTTCACACTATTTGGTTGATGCAAACTTAAGTAAGAGAACGGAAAGAAAAATTCAGCAATTTTTCCATTTGTAAAGGGGCATAACTCTAAAACTGTAACAGTGACGCCACCAAAATTCAAACTTGATCTGTGTATTGTGGTAATAATTATTGTATATAAGATTCATAATGTTTATGTGAGGCAAATTAAAGTTAGAGAAAGGAAATGAAAAATTCAGCAATATTTCCATTTGGAAAGGGCATAACTCTAGAATGGTAAAAGTGACGCTACAGACGGACAAGGGTTAAACTTAATGCCCCCTCCGCTACGGCGGGGGCATAAAAAAAATTGTCAATCATAATCAGATAAAGAGTTATTTCAAATTTTGTTAGCTGCTGAAATTAAAAGTGCACATAAGTTATCATGTTGAGTGCTAAACAGGTCACAACTATGATCCAGATGAACATGCATGAAATATCTGCCACTGAACATTAAACAAACACCAATCAACTATTCATACCCCACTCCATTGTTCCACCAATAATTCTCATACCCCACAACTTCTTTTATTAACATTTACAGTGAATACATTTTATTATAATCTGACACACACAGAAGGAAATATTGATGAAAACTTTACATTTACATATTTAGTGATCATCTACTTGCAGTCAAAAAATATTTTAGACTATGCTTGTGCTATATTTATTTATTTAACAAATTTATTTAATTAATAAATTTATTTATCGTATTCTATTTCATACTTACACTTGAAGAGAAAGTGACGATGAGAAATGCTCCAATAACTGTTAATGCTGACCCTGTAATTTACGAATGAGTAAAAATTCCAGGATATCTGATTTAGTGTTACTGTAAATTCAGAAATTATTGCGAGGTTTTTATTAATGTGAATAATGAGACTGTGTGAGTATCGCAATAATAAGAACTCACAATCTGATATCTAGCTCAAATATCTGAGTGCAGCTTTTCCTGAAATCGCAATAATTAATCTCGTATTTATATCCATTCTTCAAAAATCACAATAATATATGCACGCAATAATTTCTGAATTTTCAGTATATGACATAGATATATAAATAGAGACTGTAGTTCATTGTACATTGACAAGTTTTCACTGTATCTTCCACATTAGTTATGGTGACTTTTTTTTTCTTTAAAATTGTTCTTAAATATCTTAAAAGAAATGAATGCTTCAGAGCATGTTCAATGTGATTTCCGATATAATAAATATTTCCAAGGGCATAACTCGTTAAAAATGTTTGATCAGCAATTATTTTCGAAAGTGTCAAAGTTATTGCTGATATAAACCTATGATATAAGTTTCGTAAAATTCTATAGAATTGTACACATGAGAGCACTCACAAGGCAATTTTCACTATAATTAATATTTCCAAGGGGCATAACTCTTACTGATTTTCGAACTCGTCCGAGACATTTACTGATATTAACCTACAATATAAGTTTCATAAAAATCTGGCAAGAATTGTACACATGAGAGTGCTAACGATGCAATTTTTCATAAAATTAATGTTTCCAAGGCTCATAACTGTTTTAAAAATAATTGATCATCACTGATTTTCGAACTCATCTGAGACATTGCTGATATAAACCTACGATATAAGTTTCATAAAAATATGGCAAGAATTGTACACATGAGAGCGCTAACAGTGCTAACGATGCAATTTTTCATAAAATTAATGTTTCCAAGGGTCATAACTGTTTTAAAAATAATTGATCATCACTGATTTTCGAACTCATCCGAGACATTGCTTATATAAACCTACGATATAAGTTTCATAAAAATATGGCAAGAATTGTACACATGAGAGCACTAGCAGTGCAATTTTGCATATAATTAATGTTTCCAAGGGGCATAACTCTTTCAGAAATAGTTCATCAGCACTGATTTTCAAACTCGTCCGAGACATTGCTGATATAAACCTATAATATAATTTTTATAAAAATGCTAAGAATTGTACATGTGAGAGCGCTAACAAGACCGGATGGATGGACGGACAAATGAAACGGAGGCCTGGCATTTCTATGTCCCCCTGCAACGCGTTATGCGGGGGACAAAAAATGTGGCAAAACAATTAACAAGAATAAAACTTAAACTTGATCTGTAGCTTTTATTATCTGACTGTTTACCAAAATCCTAATTAATTGATTTAGGTATTACAAAAAAAGTTAGGAAAACTTATGGGACAGACAGTAAACCTATAATTGCTTAGATCCACTTCATTTGAACTCTGGTGGATAGTTGCCTTATTGGCAATCATACCACATCTCCTTATTTTTATACCTATAGTCCCTTCTGGCTTCACCAGTAGGGGACTAAAAAAGTTGTAATATCTATCTGCTTATATAGCAAGCTACAGTATCAAATATTTTTAAAACATGATTTTACCTTCTTAACATGAATTTTTTTTTTTCATGGAACTAAATCATGTTAGCTCAAAAATAAATGATTTCAATTTACACATGCAATTTCCTGATTAAAATTTTTGAAGGTTTCACTTCGATTGAGTAATATACACAATTGACAATATCAAATGAAAGCTTAGAAATCATGTATATAACTGGAAAGGAGCTAAATCGTTAAAAAATTCTGAAGCACCAACTTTGTTTCCTTTTCTTCAAAACTACTTTTTGCAGTCATTAGGATACAAAGATGAGTTACTTTGTAATGAAAACAGAATCCATGCATTTAATTTCAAATAATATAATGTACTTATTTATACTGATCATTTTTTTTTAAATGATTTTTATTTCTTCACATATCATTATACAATATAATTATAATACTTGAAAGTTATATTCAATTTACATTCATAACAAGTGGTTGAATATAATTATGAATTTGTATTTACCAAATAAATGTTCAGCTCGGATCTTTTCCTTTAAAAAGATGGCAGCTAAGAATATGTTGGCTGAAATATAAAACTAAGGATCAGACAATAATAACACATTCGGTAGATACTCTATACAATTATTCTATCAACTAAAATATGACTTTAAAATAAGCCAAAATATTTCAGTACATTATCTCATGCCACAGTTATACATTTTTAATCCACAGAAGCCTTCCAATACTTTTTTTTTACAATATACAATGTATATCTTCTCCTGTTTCAGACACCTTTGAGGTCAAATCTCTTAATTCCTCATACTTGACCATTATCTGACCATCATTAACAAATTGTCCAATACCAAATGTCACATTGTTGCTAACCCTTACCATGTGGGGTGTAATATTACAGCCTCTGATGAAAATCCAGATTCATTGTTGTGATTGGCTGACTAAATGTGAAGTTTGAACCAATACTTGAAATTTGAAAACTGAAATCTTAGGAAAATGGCAATTTTTTTAAGGATGGGCTGCCCTTCTCACTGTGGCCAAACACAGAATAGGGGTCTGGAACTTCAGTAAACTGCATTACCTCATGGGAATGTTACTGATTAATGCATAAATAAGTAATATATATGCTCCTCAAAAACTACTTCTGGTGGCAGGTACAAGCTCAGTCAAAAATAATAACTTAATAGCAAAACAGGGGATTTTAGTACCCAACATATGCATTATTGATTATACATGTATAAAAGATTTAAGTATATAGTCTAGCTGAAGGAATAAACATAAATGAGGCATTATTGTTTATGTTTATTGAATGACTGCTTACTTACCAACAACTGTTGTTGTCCCAAGTGGTGCCACCAGAGAGGCAGGGGCAAACCCATAAGCTGAAAAGTTTCCAATCTCTCCGACTGCCATCAATACTAGACCAATCCACCATAATGGATCTTTAGTGTAATGTATCTGGTCTCCTAAAGCTTCATTCTTCATGTGTGTATATTTCTATTCAAAGTAACAATAACATCATTCTGTAACAGTTTTCCAACAGTTTGTCTTACCAGTATGCTGTAATTGCTATTTTTACGCAATTATCACTGTCAGATTTTTTTTTTATGAAGACATCACAGGCTGATACCCAGTTCAATTTAAACATAAAAAATTAAGCTGTCTATCATAGAAATAAATGTGATGACAATGGTATATATATGTTTTAATGACCAATACAAATTACACAGCCTTATAGTTCAATTTTCTTTCAATCTTATAGACCAGTGTTTAAAAAAAAATTTTTTTGGGCGAGTGCAAAAATTACTTCACAGGCCCAAAATGCATATTGGTAGCCCAATTATTTTACTCAAATTTTTTTCAGTGTTGAGCCATAAAAATGACAATAAAGCAACATAAATAGATGTTCTTAATTCTTCAACCTTCCCGACACATTAACCAAAAAAAAACCTCATTCCCATAGTCTTCATTGTCACTGAATTCATCATCACAGTCCAGTGCCTATAAATCTAGGATTTTGAATTGTAAAATTGACTTCTCATTCCATGAGAGAGTAGCTAGAAGTGAAGTTCCATTACCGTTTCGGTTGCATAGTGATTTCGTGTCTTTCACTGAGGAAATTTTGCTGTTGCGTTTAGAATTAAACAAGTTTCTGCGAATTGATCTAAAAATAGCACGGGAATTTCCGCGATATTCTATTCGGTCAGTCATTTCAACAGGTTGTATGTCCAAAGTGTCAATGCAAAACAAAATCAAAAGACATTTTATAAACGTAATATTTTCTTATGTCACTGCCACAGGCACTTGTTTCTGTCCTTGGGGGTTTACTATCTACACTCGTATGAAAATTATTTTGACGGCTTCTCAGTTGTATCCGTGTATGGAGTTCTTTTCAGAATTCCCTTGCCCTTGTTTATTTTAGTGGGTCAGACGAGGTTTTACTGTTAATGACTGTCGCTATCCTATATAAAATACCAATAGTTTAGCGGCCACCATTGACTGGAAAACCTTGTTTGACCCACTAAACAAGCACATGTCACGATGTTGTTTGTATATATCCGCCATGTTAATATTCTAATGCACTAGCACGTTTTAACGGTGTGACCAGAGGATTTCCGACAATGGGTGTTCCAAAGTTGGGGTTGATTTTTATAGGAGTAACTACGATTTTGAGAATGATAATGCACTCGCCCAATGATTTATTTTTGGGCCAGTAACTATCCATCTTTTGACATTTCTAATCGCCCAATCAAAGTTTTGGTCGCATTTGGCCACCAGGCGACTGGCTGTGTCCTACGCTGTAGACTAATTCATACTTTGTAATGTAATAAAACTTTTTGTTTCAAACAAAAAATTCTCTGAAACTGACATCATTAATATGCTTGATTTGTTTATTGACAACCTATTTGTTGGATGTGTTTTTCAACAATCTGCATTTCCATGGGAACCAACTGTGCTCCTTTTCTTTCCTAGTTTCTTTAATCATATTAGACAGACTTCATACAGTAGCTTCTCAGCAAGAATGAAAAGCGAACATTATTCCTGAACTTCATATATATTCTATATAGATTATGTCCTCATACTAAATAATTAAAACTACTGTGTACAATGTCTTGAACTTGAAATAAAGGGTACTCAAGATACACATGATACAGTAAAGACTACCTCATATCTTAACTTACATCAAGAAATTTATAATAAGGGTCTGTTAAGAACTTGAATTTATGACAAAAGAGATTAATTCAGCTTTCCTATTGTGAATTTTCCATTCTATGTAGCATCATTCAAGCAGCTCCTGCAAATATGATTTTCTTGATAGAGGGATGCTGCTTTCATGAAAGCTACAGAACCACAGGTTCCTAGTGGTAAAGAAGAAGTGTAGCCCTTCAAAAGTTTTGCTTACACCATCATAATTTGGTTGACTGATATATATATAGTATGTTCCAATTGTAGTAGCTACAATCCTGTCCTCTTTTATTAGATTGAGACATCACCAAATGAGCAATACTACTATGCCACTTGTGGAGCATGATCTTCTTTCCCTTCCCAAGCTCATGAGATCACCTCAGGATTTTGTTTGGGTTTGTGTTGGGTTGGGTTTTTTTCGTTTTTTTGTCACGATATTGTTGGTTTTCCTTTGAAGTATTATTTTGTGTATTTTATTACTTACCTGTACATTTAACGATATGCTGATCATCAGATTTCCACTTATTGCAAGAATACATCCTATCAACAAATCCTGTATAAATAAAAATTATAAGGTTATATCTAACACTTGGTATATTAGTGTGTTAATCTAAACCTTTTGTATTTGTCACCAGACGTTAAGAAACCAACAATCAATCTAAACCCTTTGAACATTATGGCATTACACTAAACCCTTGGTACATTTTGTATATTTTCCTGTTATACTAAATCCTTAGTATATTATTGATACACTAAACCCTTGGTATATTATGGCAATACGCTAAACCCTTGTTATATTATTGATACACTAAACCCTTGGTATATTATGGTAATACACTAAACCCTTGGTATATTATGGCAATACGCTAAACCCTTGGTATATTATGGCAATATGCTAAACCAGTGTAATATTTACCTGTTACACTAAATGATAAGTATATTGTTGTGTTACCCTAATCCTAAGCATATATTATTGTGTTAAACTAAATGCTTGGTATATTACTGTGTTACACTAAACCCTTGATATATTTTCATGTTATACTAAATCCGTAGCATATTATTTATACACTATATTATTGTTACACTAAACCCTCAATGTATATAATAGCATTACACAAAACCCTCAAGGTATATAATAGCATTACACAAAACCCTTGGTGTTTCATGGCATTACACTAAACCCTTGGTATAGCATTGTGCTACACTAAAACCTTAAAGATGATTAAAAACAGATAATACCATGGGCAAAAAGAAAATTACAAAAAGACAAACAACTGTCTACAAACCACAACACAGAAAACTTTAACCAGGAACTGACCAAAACCTAAGGGTGATCTCAGGTGCTCTGGAAGTGTAAGCAGATCCTGTTACACTAAAACCCATAGTATATTGTCATGTTACACTAAAACCCTTAGTTTATTCAGGGCCTAATCTAGGATTTTGGAGAGGGAGAAGTGACTTCTCCTTCCATGAGAGAGTAGGGTGAAGTGAAATTCCATTACCGTTTTGGTTGTATAGTCTTTTCGTGCTCATCAATGAATATAAAAAAAACACTCGTTAATTCCCACCCCTTAACCTACCAAATAGTACAACTGATCGTCAATAATCGTAATAAATAATAATAAAACAAATCAGCTGAGTGATTATGCAACATCCTCAGATGAATATTATCGTAAAATGATAACTTAAACAGACGCTCAGTTTTCTGTTTTAATAGTTTTGAATGTTTAATTCGAGGATGTTCAAAGTCGCCGTAGTATTTATTTCAATTAATCGTCAATAGTATCAGTCCTTGGTCGTTTCAAAAATCTCTATTTTTCTTGTCAGTCGCCATTTTTGTTTACCTGTTTAATTTGTAAATCACAAATTGTCTCCCTTATACCGATTTAGATGGCATTTGACTTCGCTATGAAGTCAGTTGGCCGGAGAGTTTTAGCAATTTTCAAAATTCTTTGGCAACTTAAATCATCACTTCGCCGACAAGGTTATGACCTGGTTTATTATCATGTTACACTAAAACCCTTTGTTTATCATCATGTTACACTAAATCCCTTAATATCATGTTACACTAAACCCTTGGTATATTATCATGTAACACTAAACCCTTGGTATATTATCATGTTACACTAAAACCTTTGGTATCATGTTACACTAAATCCCTTAATATATTATCATGTTACACTAAACCCTTGGTATATTATCATGCTACACTAAAACCCTTGGTATATTATCATGTTACACTAAATCCTTGGTATATTATCATGTTACACTAAAACCCTTGGTATATTATTATGTTACACTAAAACCCTTGGTATATTATCATGTAACACTAAAACCTTTAGTATCATGTTACACTAAACCCTTGGTATATTATCATGTTACACTTAAACCCTTAGTATACTATCATGTTACACTAAAACCCTTGGTATATTATCATGTTACACTAAAACCCTTGGTATATTATCATGTTACACTAAAACCCTTGGTATATTATCATGTTACACTAAAACCCTTGGTATATTATCATGTAACACTAAAACCTTTAGTATCATGTTACACTAAACCCTTGGTATATTATCATGTTCCACTAAATCCTTGGTTTATTATCATGTTACACTAAACCCTTGGTATATTATCATGCTATACTAAAACCCTTGGTATATTATCATGTAACACTAAAACCTTTAGTATCATGTTACACTAAACCCTTGGTATATTATCATATTACACTAAAACCCTTGGTATCATGTTACACTAAACCCTTGGTATATTATCATGTTCCACTAAACCCTTGGTTTATTATCATGTTACACTAAACCCTTGGTATATTATCATGCTACACTAAAACCCTTGGTATCATGTTACACTTAACTCTTGGTATATCATCATGTTACATTAAAACCCTGGGTATATTATCATGTTACATTAAAACCCTGGGTATATTATCATGTTGCACTAAAACCATTGGTATATTATCATGTTGCACTAAAACCCTTGGTATATTATCATGTTGCACTAAAACCCTTGGTATATTATCATGTTGCACGAAACTCTTAGTATATATCAAATAATCAAAATTTGTTTTTTGAAATTTAGCTGTTTTTTTTATGTGTAACAATTTACCTTCATTTAATCTTTCAGATTAAACTTATTTTTATTTAAAAGGAAACAAAAATCCTTAAATTGTTTGAAAGAAATATTTGGTTGTTTTTTTAAAAATATAACTAATGCAAAATAAAACTATCAGTCCTTGTACAATTATCTAATGTTCGCCAATGATATCTATAATTGAGTACAGTAACTTACCGCAGTGTTAATTCCCTCAAACAAAGACATTTCTCCATTGATTCATTCAAAAAATATTCTCAAGTTAAGACATTATCACAATGGATAAAAGAATAACTCTGGTTTGATGACTTCATATCACATATATTTGTTTTAATGATTTGTTGATATAGATACAAATTTAAATTAGCCTGATTAATTTCCACATATGTTTACTGAAGCAATTCGAAACAATCATTGAGGAAAATCCTGACTTCGACTTCATATCAAATCCTGTTCAAAATGTCTGACTGGAATTATTTTACAATTAAAACCTTAATCCCCCTAAATCTCATGTTATCCACAAGTGCAACATAGCAGGAAGGTATAATTAAAGAGACATTCTTCAATGTTTATTTCATTTCACTTTACCTGTTATATAAAAAAAAATTGAATTCCAATAATATATATTCTTGTTTCCTGCCATCATGTAGGTAAAACAGATATCTTTTAAATAATTTATGTAGACTACATATGGAAATATTCTGGATTTAAACATTACTTAACCAAAAATATGAAAATATCCTACAATATATGATTGACAGTTACTTTTACTGTAAGTTGACCCTTCAAGGTTTACTCAAATTAAAATTAACTGTCTACAAACCACTACACAAGAAACTTAAACCAGGAACTGACCAAAACCTAAGAGTAATCTCAGGTGCTCTGGAAGTGTAAACAGATCCTACCTCACCTGTACCTACCTTCTGGTTACACTAAAACCCTTGGTTTATTATCATGTTACACTAAAACTCTTGATTAATTATCATGTTACACTAAAATTCTTAGTTTATTATCATGTTACACTAAAACCCTTGGTTTATTAACATGTTACACTAAAACCCTTGGTTTATTATCATGTTACACTAAAACCCTTGGTATATTATCATGTTACACTAAAACCCTTGATTTATTATCATGCTACACTAAACCCTTGGTTTATTATCATGTTACACTAAACCCTTGGTATATTATCATGTTACACTAAAATTCTTAGTTTATTATCATGTTACACTAAAACCCTTGGTTTATTAACATGTTACACTAAAACCCTTGATTTATTATCATGTTACATTAAAACCCTTAGTATATTGTCATGTTACACTAAAACCCTTGGTTTATTATCATGTTACACTAAAACCCTTGATTTATTATCATGTTACACTAAAATTCTTAGTTTATTATCATGTTACACTAAAACCCTTGGTTTATTAACATGTTACACTAAAACCCTTGGTTTATTATCATTTTACACTAAAACCCTTGGTATATTATCATGTTACACTAAAACCCTTGATTTATTATCATGCTACACTAAACCCTTGGTTTATTATCATGTTACACTAAACCCTTGGTATATTATCATGTTACACTAAAATTCTTAGTTTATTATCATGTTACACTAAAACCCTTGGTTTATTAACATGTTACACTAAAACCCTTGATTTATTATCATGTTACATTAAAACCCTTAGTATATTATCATGTTACATTAAAACTTTTAGTATATTATCATGTAACACTTAACCCTTGGTATATTATCATGCTACACTAAAACCCTTGGTATATTATCATATTACACTAAACCCTTGGTATATTATCATGCTACACTAAAACCCTTGGTATATTATCATATTACACTAAACCCTTGGTATATTATCATGCTACACTAAAACCCTGGGTATATTATCATGCTACACTAAAACCCTTGGTTTATTATCATGTTACACTAAAACCCCTGGTATATTATCATGTTACACTAAACCCTTGGTTTATTATCATGTTACACTAAAACCCCTGGTATATTATCATGTTACACTAAACCCTTGGTTTATTATCATGTTACACTAAAACTCTTAGTTTATTATTATGTTACACTAAAACCCTTCAAGGTTAACTCAAATAATAATAATTAAATTTGGACTTATTCAACATGTTTAATCATATGCATCATTGTTACATGATCAATGAAATAAAGTGAATTTTTCTCACAAGTCAAAAATTATAGTAAACACATGTTTACATGGTCATTATCGATTATTAGTTAAGAAACACAATAAGTTGTCTTTGACTTTGGAAAATAACTTCAAGAAATATGTAATAATTTATTAGAAAAATACTGATATGGTCTAAAGACTCCAAGGTTGGCAAAAAAGCGGTCAATACTAGTATTGACCATGCCGGCGGTAAATACCGGTAATTACCGGGAAATACTGGCAAATACTGGTCAATTGAAATTTTGATAGGACTTTACTATAAAACTAGTCCCTACCTCAGGTCAATTACTTGGTAAATGGATAGATATAGTCACAAGGCAGAAAGTCACTTATTTACTACATTGTAATAAGACAAAAAGTCACATTTAATTAGTTCATGAACATGGTTTAATGAAGATTTATCAAATATTAATTTAATTATACAACAGATATAGTCATTAACACCATGAAGTCAGTCACTTAAGAGAGACTATATAACATCTGATTTTCTTAACAGTTATTTTGAAAGATGCAATTAAAAAATTAAAAAAAATTGTTTTATATATATATATATGTTATATATTTATTAAAAAAAACATTTCCTGCATTTAGAACATTTTTATCATGCTGTTGAATAGTCAGGAATTAATTCATTGTTTAAAACAATCTTTAGAAATCACTTTTATGATTTTTTTCCTGTTATGTCAACATTTATTAGGGGACAGTTGTTATAGTAATTAAACTTTTGACACCTGTTAGCCATATAATAGGTAATGTTCTGATAATCTATATTGCTAGTCACTTGTAATTCTATTTACCTGTAAAATTCAAACCTTTTCAAGAAAAAAATATCTTGATTTATACATGTTAGAATAACTGATATAGCTGCACAATTTTTATATGTATACCAAAAGTATGCAATATCATTACCCCTAAGAACTAAATTAGTCATTTTTAATGTTTTAATAATTAATAACATACCAATATCATTCATTTTTATAAATTGAATCATGCCAAAGGAATAAAGTTTTCCCTCATCAATCATTTTTTTACTAGAATTGATAGATAAGTCAGTCAAAAGAAGCATGAAAATTTCAATTGACCAGTATTTGCCAGTATTGACCACTTGGGGAGTATTGTCCGGGGCGGTAAATACCACTGGTAAATACCGGGGGTGGTAAATACCGCCCAACCTTGAAAGACTCATATGGTCAGGACCATTAGAGCTAATTTCCAAATGCATGTAGAGCAAGACTTTGGTTAGCTTGCTTGCTTTGTTTGTATATTGTACAATTGTAATTGGAATAACTTCCAATCAAATTTAAATACAATATATACAGGTTAAACTATGCCTATATATATATTGTTTGAAGATGTCAATCTTAATTACAAAGCTTGGGAAAACGTTTATACAAACAAAGCAAGCAAGCCAACCAAAGTTTTACTCAACAAGCATTAGGAAATTAGCTATAAATTACAAAATGAGCATGTACGCATATGGTCATGACCATAAGTGTATGGTCCAAATACTCATATGTTCCGTAACATATATATACACATGTTTCCTGCCTTCTGGTAGAAAAATAGGGTAGGTAGGTCGTCTGTAAAATCATTTTAACATTCAAAATATTTTGCATAGACTATATTGGGAATTGATCTGAACTGAACCAAATATATTTGGACTTTAGCAGTGCATAACCTTAAATGTCCATAAAATGTGTTGCGGTAGGTATAATAAACAAGGATATTTGGTGAGGCAGGAATCAGAGTTACATCTTATTTTTGCCTCAAAATATAAATAACCAATGATATGATTTGCAGACTTTAATTTGCATGGTTATATCAATTTTGAATTTACAGTTTCTGTCTTGATTTATCATTTTCTAAACATTTTCCAAAAATGCTTAAAGTTCAATGATGTGGTATAATTGCCAATGAGACAACTCTCCACCAGAGACGCAATGACATGGAAGTTAACAACTACCATATAGGTCACTGTACCGCCTTCAAAAATAATACTAAAATTGGTTAAAAAATATCATGTAATGATAATAACTCCTCAAAGGAGTTGTCTGGTAATTTTTATGGAAATTTAGGGTTTATACAGGTCTTGACATTCTGTATCTGCATGAGTGTGTTATTGATACCGATACTGGCTTTAATACAATGGTATTAAATATTTTTGCCCTCTGTCATATTTTCTTTACCTATTATGGTTTTCAAGATATTAGACGACAATTACTTGCACTTTACCCTTCTGTTCTATTTCTTGCAATGGGCCTCATATTAGTTAAACAAGAGTGCACAAGCTGAAATGTCTCCCCTGTTCTACTGACCATTGATTTTATGTTGAAAGTCTTAAAGATAAAGGTTTTACTACAAGTATCACATAAATTTAACATTCTTAAAGATCCATGGCAATTAATAAGGTCAAGGTCAGATAAAAACTGTCACACAGACATGTACACCTTACAATTATTCCATACACCAAATATAGTTGACCCATTGCTTATGGTAATCAAAAAACAGACCGAAACACAAAAACTTAATGTTAACCAATGAACCATGAAAATGAGGTCAAGGTCAGATGATACTGGCTAGACAGACATGTACACCTTACAATCATTCCATGCACCAAATATAGTTGACCTATTGTATACAGTACTTGAAAAACAGACCCAAGCACAAAAAATTAACAATGACCAATGAACCATGAAAATGAGGTCAAGGTCAAATGACAATGGCTAGACAGACATGTACACCTAACAATCATTCCATACACCAAATATAGTTGACCTATTGCTTACAGTACTTGAAAATCAGACCAAAACACAAAAACTTAACATTGACCAATGAACCATGAAAATGAGGTCAAGATCAGATGAAACCTGCCAGTCTGACATGTACCCCTTACAATCATTCCATATATACACCACATATAGTTGACCTGCTGCTTGTAGTATCTGAGAAACTGACCTAATCACGTAACTTTAACCTTTATCCCTGATCCATGAATTGAGGTCGAGGTCAGGTTAATCCTGTCTGATGGACATGTAGACGTTGCAAGGAACCAATATACCAAATATAGTTATCTTATTACTCATTTAAGTGAGAAATTCACATGACAAATAAACTGTAATTTTTTTTCAAGCAGTCACTGAACCATGAAAATGAGGTCAAGGACAATGGGCATATGACAGACAGAAACTTAGTAACATGAGGTATCTGCATACAAGGTATGAAGCATCCAGGTCTTCTTCCTTCTAAAATATAAAGCTGTGTACAAATAGTTTACGCCACCGTCACAGGAGAGTGATACCTATGTCTCACATACTGCGACTTTCGTCATAGGCGAGACAAAAATTTGGAGTATTTGTTAAATATACATACATGTATGTTTAATTATTGCAGGATTTAAGCTAGGATTCAGATGGTTTTAGTCACTTATGCGTGATATGAAAAACCAAACTTTTTTTGTTAACAGCATAAGACTAAGGCAGTTATAAACATGTCTAATGTGTTCTTTCATTTATTTTTTCAGCATTTCATTATTATACATGCATGACATGGACAAAATAAATATAGTAAACGTTTCAAATTGTGATCAATTGAAATGTCTATTGAAATAGAAATGCAGACAGACAGATTCTAAATATGAATAAATCATTTGAGAATATTATTATGACCAGTCAGAGCTCAGACAAAAATAAGTCTAAATCTGCTTTTGACTCATAGAGGTCTAAATTTGAAGGTTTCAAGATTTGTCTCCCTTAAATTTAAGACAAATTATGACTTCAATAAGTCAATTAGTGTTAAGCAAGAAATATTTAACCTGAATTAAAAAGTTGTAAATATCGACTCCTACAAGTCAATAAGTTACCAAAATTGGTCAACTTCAAGACCCAAGCATATTTATAAAAAGGTCATGCATCTACATGAAATTATGACAACATCAAAAGACAATGCTTTGTCTTCTAAGGAAAAATATGCATGAGAGCCTAAAAAAACGGAGATAATGTTTATTTACTTTACAATGCATCCATCTGTATCTCACAAAATGAGGAAAATAATCTATGTTAAGTAAAAATGTTCAATTAGATAATTAAATATAGATAGCTCAGGTCCTTGTGAACTCTCAGACAGGTTTAGGATGTCATAGATGGTGCACTTTGGCCACCAATTGAAATTAAGTCTTTTCATAAACATAAATAGACCTAAACAAGTCTGTCATTTTCTGACTTAAATAAGTCTGAAAATGAAAGTACATTTTTATAATAAATACATTTTTTGACTTATGTAAGTCAAAAACAAAAATCGACTTGTTTATGTCTGAGCTCTGACTGATGACCCAACAGTTATGCTGATTATAACACAAGTTGTTGCCATTAATAAGCTTGGGTCATAAACTTGTCATAAATTTGTTGCCAGGTAAAATAGTGTATTTTCGTACACATTTTTTAACTTTCATAAAATATGAAACTTGTGCTTTCCCCATTTTGAAAATTATTTCTTAAATTATGAAAATGATGAGCCCTGGCATAATCACTGCTATTGAATCAGTATATTTGTATAGTCAATGAACTATGTCCAAGAAGGTGAGAGCCTAATATAGTAGGGACCACCCTGCTCTTAGTGTGTACATACATTGTAGACTTCTCTCTTTAGTATTGTAGTAAAAGAGGGACAGTGCATATATATTTTATGAAGTGTTGTGTAACCATATTCAACACTACAGTTCTCCAGACAGTGGAGGAAAGATACAGAACAACAACAACATGGCCTATAATCTCGGCGTATAATCTCCACTGAAATAAAATACATCAATCTCAATTTTTTTTTATGAATGAGCTCTAGCTTAAACACCATCGCCATTGTCCAACAATCAGTTCTAACTGTGACATCATAACATAAGCATTGTGACATAAGAAATGGATGGGAAAGTGCACATATTTGAAAGTCGGCTATAGATGTGCAATCTGCTTACCAGATACTGATATTAAGTAAACAGGCAGAATGCCAAATCACACTGCATTTCTGGTTTGTGTTTTTTTTTTAAATGTGAATGAAACCACACTAATTTTTAACCGATTTTGAACTATGTTCCATACATGTACATGTACATATTGATAAATTTGTGTCAGACTCCAGTGAACCTCTTATCGTCATATCGAGCTTGTGCTGTTACCTGATAGGTTATGTGTTCTGATGCATTGGAAATTGTTGTAGTTTCGTTAGATGTTATGTTCAATGCATCCATTATTGGTGATATATTTTCATCTTTTTCTTAATTTCATCCCTCCAGTCTTCATCAACATTTCTTCATTTCGTGCATTCTCAGATTTGCCCAGTGTTAAGGAAAAGTCAAGAGAATATAAATACAAATATAAATGTTTTCGACAAAACGAATTTAAAATCTTTTTATTTTGAATTGCATCTTTAACACAATTAATTCATTAAATATAACAGGGGATGAAATAATAACTGGTAAGGTGTATCATTAGACTTCGCCGATGATTGTTTTATAATCAGAAACATCAAATACAGATACGATAATCTTTATTTCGGATTCAAAAGCTCAAAAGAATAATGACAATGTCTATAAAATAGGTAATTTTAAATTGTGAAGGAACACTTAATATGTATATACGTTGAATTGTTCTAAACCCTAACCCTAATCCATTTACATAACATCCTTTTAAATAATCTTTTCATTATAAATTCTGATTTAAGAATAGCACGTTTAACTAACTAATAGAATTTTAAATTTAAAACTATTTTAAACTTTTAAATTTCAAATTTTACTTGTAAATATATTCAGTTCCTACTTAACTTTTTCTTACACCTCAACACATTATGATTAGTTAATTTTATGCATGGTTTAAAACTGTAATGACTATCCAGTGAATTAATAATGATATTGCCTTTATTCATTTATCTGTACATAAGTTTATATGTTCCCTTATGTTTTAAGGTGTATATAGTTGCTACAATTATACCCTATATGGGTAGTGCTCCACAACTAATAGAGGAACATACAAGAAACTGAACTATGAACATTTAAAAATCAGTTGAAAAAGGCTTAACTCTTCAGATCGATATAAATAACACAAATAACTAACAAAAACACATACACAAAAGACATAAACTGAGAACAGTTCTGAGAGTACTCCCGGCGCGTGTTACTATTTTTATGATCTTTCAGTGACTGAAATTTGTCAAATATTTGAAAAAAAATATTGCTTAAGAGAACCATTCAAATCATACCGGAGTTGTTGAGCTAAATGCGTTTCCTTGTTGTTGTTTTTTTTTTAATATTTATTGATAAACAATACTTGATAAAACTTACCTGTAACTATTTTATTTTTATTTTATCGACTGTTTATTTCAGACAGATTAATTTTGAATGTATTTTAGATTTAAACTCCTCGACGAAACGCGCGTCCCCTCGTACCAAATTATAAGACTGGTATCTTTGATGAGTTCTTATAACAATTTAATCAAGGTGTCTCTGATAAACTTAAATAAAGATAGTAGAGGAGGGACGACAGCCAAGGTGCTGTGTGCAAGGCTTTGCAGGTCACGTGGTACGATTTCAGCTTCCGTTTGGCAATTTTATTGAAACAAAAATCGATTTGTACATGTTTTGATATCATAATTTTTGACATATAATACAAGAGCTCTTGTACGTATTATATGTCTCTGACTGTACTCTACTTGAAAAGATAGTAAACATCCATATAATTTGTCAAAAGTGTAGCTAGGTTTTTGGATACTGACATTCATCAAAACAATGAAAAGGACGGGTGTCCCGAATTTGTTTGTCATGATAATAGAGGGGGGGGGGAGGGGGTCCTGATCCCGAAATCCCCGGGCTTAAAAACATAGAATCCCGAGGTCCCGAATATAAAAAAATTTAAAATCCCGACATCCCGAAATTCGAAAAAAGAATTCCCGGATCCCGAAAGGATCAATCCCGAAATCCCGAGCTTAAAAACACCCGATCCCGGAGTCCCGATAAAGGTCCTACCCCCCTCATAAAAGTGAAATAAAATATTTCGTAGAAACTTCTTTTCGGATGGGTCACAATGTATTTATATGTACACTATCTTCCTATATATGGTCTTTTTTTATGTGACACAAAACTTATGTTATCTTATATATCTGGAGGGGGGGCAGCAGATAAAAACTGGTGACTCTCGTCAAGAGTATTTAATTTCAAAAATATTTTGTAAAACGTCATAATACAGCTCAAATTCTCTGAAATCATGTCGAGTACACGAAAACCAGTCACGAAGACGCTTTCATTTATCAAAAATATTAATAATTGTGTTTGTCATCCTGGCTAGTGACCGTTTGTAACCTCTCTCCCTTGTTTTGTATATATTGTAAATAGTTATTGTTGTTGTTATCTCAGTACTGATGTTATGCATCGGCTTTATAAGAATAAAGATACTACATGATAAAAGTCTGCTAATAAAGCACCTGTTTTGCTACTGGCAGGGGCGGGTCCAGGTAAGGGCGTAATGGGCGTACGCCCCCCCCCTTTTCAAAAAAAAAAAAAAAAAAAAAAAAAAAAACTATCGTTATCTGCTTATATTGTATTGAATATGGCAATTTATCATATTCATTAATTAAACACATACTCTGATTTCTTTTTATACTGATTCCCCCATCCGATGGGTGACTTGGACACCTTTTTTAAACAACCAAAGCGGTAAGCAAATCTATACATGAAATGGTTGTTTTGTGTGACACTTCCCCAATGGCCATTCTACATCTACCCGGGGGATATTCGCTATATATATGATACCGGTATGTTCCGACAAACGGGGTTGCATTTTCAGCTAAATTGTCTGAAATGGGGTTATGTTTTTTTCGCCTTGCATTGGAAGGGGTCAGATTTGACTATCTAGAACGGGTATTATAAATACAATGTTACACTATTGTTTCAGATAAGGGTGAATGTTTGGTACCATTAAAACGTTTAAACCCGCTGCAACTGTTTGCACCTGTCTTAAGTCAGGAATCTGTAGTTGTTGTCGTTTGTTGATGTGGTTCATAAGTGTTTCTCGTTTCTTATATAGATTAGACCGTTGGTTTTCCCGTTTGAATGGTTTTACACTAGTAATTTTTGGGGCCATTTATAACTTGCTGTTCGGTGTGAGCCAAGGCTCCGTGTTGAAGACCGTACTTTGACCTAAAATGGTTTACTTTTATAAATTTTGACTTGGATGGAGAGTTGTCTCATTGGCACTCATAGCACATCTTTTTATATCTACTAAATTGAAAACAACGTTCAAACTTATGATTGCGTTGGATAAGAACCGCAATCTTTATACGTGTGCATGCAAAACAAATTTCTTGGTAAAGGGGTCTAAATACAGCACAAACAACATTTTCCAAAAGACCAAAACAGTGAAAAGGAATATTTTAACAAAACGGTCGGGTATGGATAAATATATATATCAAAAGTTCAGAAAAAGCTACCGTTATAGACTAGTACTATCCGCGGTGTTAGCCATACGGTAACCTACAGTTAATTGTATTAATGACATTTAACCATGGATAGAGACTTGTCTCATTGGCAATCATATTATGATACTACACCTCTGGTCGTTATGTTACTGTCTTGTTGACGAGTATCCATCTCTTTCACAGACATTACGAACCATATTGTAAAAATTTTTTTTATAAAATAATTCAAATATAAAGTTAAAATTTATTTCACACAAGTAAATGACATGGGATTAAAAACATAGGAGTTTCTAACTTAAATTTGGACGAATTAAATACTTTGACACTTGGTGTATTTTTCCGTTTTCGCTCTCTTTTACGGTATACAACTTAATACTATCGTCAGTTTCTATGTTTATGAGCAGTATTTTTGTCCTGACAGAAACACGTTTGTCCCACGACCGACACAGCGGGATCAAAGATTTCGCTTCTGTTACTGTGGATGACTTTTTGGGAAATAACTCCTCCGCCGATACAAACTCTTCTAGCACCGATCAAAAATGTTCCGGATTGGGATCATTTGTTTCTCTTTTCTTGTCTAGTAAAAAACCTTCATCTGCACAAACATTCTCGTTAACCCATCACGGTCCATTTTTTGTTCGTTCAAACGGCTTGTAGAGTCATAATGCTATTTAACTTTGAAAACGTCCATACTTTCGCGAACAAACGCAATTTCGCGGAAAACGCACTTTCGCGTATCGCGGCATCGGACTTTAGCGTGTTCCATTAAATAGCACAGACCATCGCAATTTAGCGTATCAAACCATCGCACTTTCAATGAGCGTAGGCCATCGCACTTTAGCATGACCATCGCGTTTTAGCGTCCCCATCGCACTTTAGAGTCCTACATATTTATATGCATGAATTGGTGGATTATTGGCACGTTCTTTTGTGTGTTGATATGAGATTTGAGTGGGTGTGAGAGTATATTTGTATATAGCGCATTAGCCATCGTACTATGTTTTGTCTTGTCTTGTGTGAAAATCCTGCCATTCAAAGGCACACCTCTGGTTTCAGAGTAAAATAAACGGTGTATTTAACACCCACTAAAAAGTTTATCACACTTTTAAAATCTAAAACAAAAGAAAATTTAGATTTTAAATGTTCACGCCTTTGACTGAGTGGTTGCAAGCAACCCTTACTTTTTATTCACCGGTAATGGTAATAATATCATATTACGTCTAATATGAAGAGCAAAGCAGAGTTTTCTACTGATGTATTCTACAAGATGAAGAAAGTCTGTACATCCACATTTACATTGACAGTTGCAGAGAAAGGCACTAGCATCCAATATTAGTTGTGTACTGATTTCTAATTTTCTAACATTCTACATTTCGCGCAGAGCTCACTGTTATTGATAATTTGTAAAAGTTCAAGCAAGTGATAGTATCTAGCAGAGGATAGAGCAGGACATGAATGAATGAAATGGTCGAATGTTTCAAAGTCAGCTTCGCATAAGAGACATGTTGGGTTGACGTCAACTTGGTTGAAAGCTGCCCTTATTACATTGGAGAATATATGTACCAGTAAGGAGTCGAAGTTTGATGGGGAGACGCTGGATGTCTTTAGAAGAAGTCTGGACACTTGCCAAAGCATTGTCACGGTAGATGACCAGCTTTATGATTAGATGTTGAAATAAATGAAATACTCTTGAAGTAGACAGACATGGTAACAACATGTTCGACCCAGAAGGTGTCAATCGCTTTCCTGATAGAAATTTTCCATTTTAATTTCAAGGGTGGTTCATCTAATATGATAAAAATCGATGGTAAGCTGTATTTAATTAATAAAGATCTGCTTTTTGTGAACCAACTGTCTTTTACGGCGGTTGAAATAAGGATTTGTCTTTCGGCAACTTGTCTTCTGGAACGGCGATTCAAACATGTAGAAAGAAAGATACTCCTTTCGTTGCATTTCTAACAGTTTTCTCTCATTTCTATTTTACCATTTCGCCATACTGTCTTTGTCGCAACTTGAGAGATCTACTAACTTCAGTATAATAGTCCCAGATATTTCCAAAAATATGACTGAAACTATGCTTTTAACTTTTATATGTCATCTATGTTATCTTTATTAGGCAGTGGCTATTTTGCCGGCTCCGGCAAATAGCCTCTTAGCGCCAAGGAGGCTATTTTGCCGGTTCCGGCAAAATAGCGATATATATACAGTTTTGCTATTTTGCCTGTCTTAATGAAGATTTTCAGTATATAAATTAAGAATAGAAATGAAATATAGCAATATACACTTTAATAAGAAAATCTCTTAAACAAATATTTCTTCTTTAAAACATTTATACAAAGCGTGCATATTAAAATTGATATTCTTTACTTTAATAAGAAGTCTCTAAAAAGTATGTCCCTTTTAAAACATTTTTACAAAGCATAAATATTAAAATTGATATTTAAAAAAATATATATAATACACATCAAGCAAAGCATGCAAACCTATATAAAAAAATCGACATTCTAATTAAAACTTTTAACAAAAATGTCTTTTTAGTTTTGAAAAGGTAACATTCAACCACATCAAAACGCTCAACAAGTGTTACAAAACCAGTGCCTTGCTTTTGGTGCATTTTTTAGTCTTGCACAAGAGAGATGCTGCCACTGCAGATATGAACTGCACATAACAATTGTTTTTTTTTTTGCGTCTGCATCTCTTTTGCAAATATTGCAGATATATACATTAAATTCAACTTTCATAGAATAATTGCTGTCAATAGATTTCCATGCATCGTCTGTACAATATTTCTATTAACTAGTTTGTCTAGACATGAACTTGAAACCATTTCAGGGCGAGTTTCAACGTGTTCCACAGTTGCACATAGTTATCGTTTTCATAGTGCTCCAAAACCTGCTGTAGCTCTTTGTATGAGTCAAGGGCATACGATACAGTTTTGATCCCATAATGAAATTTTAATGAAAATTTGCATGTAGGCTATTTTTTCCCTGATTTAATCAAATATGTAATAAAAAATATACCTTCATGTGCTTCTTTTTGAGTAAATAGAGGTCGAAATTTCAGATATTTGCTCAAAATTCGGATTTGTGGAAGTATTTTTCCTTTCGACAGAAATTCATAACTTTTTTGTTTTAAAAGATAAACACAAGCTGTTTTTTGTTAAATTATTTGTAAATTCTGTTTTATACACATGTCCCATAAATTTGTGCATTTTATTTTTACAAATAACTCTTATTTATCAAATGTTTATGAATGTAGAAAAAAACCGTCATTTTTTGCTGTATATTTATCAAATTTAAAGAAATTGCATTATTGACTTTTTCATGAAAATTGGTAGAGTGAGAGACCCATATTCGCCGCATAATTCGTTCATTTCCACTTACATCCGACCTACATTCGAATATTTGGATGTTTATATGAAGGTTTCAGAAATTTAACTATATGAAAAAAATGTTTGATAAAGAAATTATCTTCAAAACATTGGTAAATTGTTCTAAAAACGAACGCAAACTCAAGAGGAAATCAAGTTGTTCGTGTACCATGGGGGACACATTTTCGCCGCAATGTATGATATGACCATCCTCATATATTTACTTTAAGACTGCGCATGATTCCCATATAAATCTTACATAATTGCCAAAATCATTTAAAAACACCTGCGTATTTCTCAATATGTGCAAATTACCTTGGAAATGGGGTAAAGAGGAATATCAACAGTTGTAACATTACAAACAGCCTTTACCATCTATTTAGACAAGTATTGGGTAAAGGCACACAAATTTTACGGAAAAAATAGCAAAACGGCGAAAACTTGATGATGTGTCCAAGGCGAATATGCGCCACCCACTCTACACATAATCTTCATACAATATCAAACCAAATGTCATTTTAAAAAAGAGGGGTCCATCAACTCATTTTCAAGATAAATCAGTTTGAATGATAACAAAAACAGTCGAAAACTGCATCTTTTCCCGATAAGTCGCAGTTAGACGTCGTGAAAATAACAATTTACGTTAGCAACGTCATTACCTCCCCTGTAACTGTATCGTATGCCCTTGATTCAAGTTTTTTAGATAACAAATTGTCGTCTTCCATTTTCGAACATCAATGTGCAACAGAAATTAACGTATGTACATGTAATTTAATAAGTGCAGTTCACCATAAGTGAATAAGCTAGATCCTGAAGGCAAAGCGAAGACTAAAAGGTTATACACCTTAACGGTATCGCTATTCCCGGCTGACCCGATAATCTGTCCCGCTTGAACTATTGACGTCATACAACAATCACTTTTCCATTGTGGCGTCAGATATTTTGTATTATGACGTCAAAATTTTACGGGAACCTGTGTGATGTCCAGTAATGGCGGACAAATAGCGATAAGGTGTATTGACGTCTAGCCACGTCTGATTAAAAATCTGAAATAAGACCGTCAAAATAGCAAAACCGTCTATATGGATCGCTATTTTGCCGAGCCGCGGAAAATTTAAAATATAACATAATGAAAATACACCTTATCGCTATTTGTCCGCCATTACTGGACATCACAAAAGTTCCCGTAAAATTTTGACGTCATAATAGAAAATATCTGACGCTACAATGGAAAAGTGATTGTTGTATGACGTCAAAAGTTCGAGCGGGACTGATTCTCGGGTCAAGCGGGATTAGCGATAAGGTGTATTAAAAATTACAACTGAAGACATTATAACGTTAACTTATACACTTTTTACATCGGGAAGTTTAGTCAGTTTTATACACTTTTTACAGTTAATAGAAGAATTAATGCTTTCGAAAATATATTTAAGTCCATTATTAATTATTTATTTAATTAGTTATTGCTGCCCCTCCCATCCTTGCACCCACTCCCAGGCATCCTATTTCCTTGCTTGGTCTTTTGTCACCAGTTGATATCGTTCATTGTGTACATCATGTACATGGTGTATGAGGAACACCAGCCTTCTTGCTTGAAATTCTATTTTAGACATCAGGTCGGATTACCATGCATGCACTGTATGCCAAAGTTTAACATTGTGCTGTTTTCACGACTTTAAATTTTGTATGTGTGTATATATTTTGTTATCCAGTCGATTTGAAAAACTAACTAGAGCCTGTGTTTATGTTGTTTATTGAACATCGACTTTAAATAAAACTTTCAATTGAATTGAACATGTTGAATTGAATTAAGAGATCTTTAAAAATGTTAAGTTTATGTGATACGTGTAGTACATCAAACAACACAAAATCAATGGTCAGTAAAGCAGGCGAGACATTTCAGCGTGTGCACTCTTGTTTATATGATGACTGGATATGATTCAAAAGTTTTCCAATTTTATATTGTTGTTTCAAAATTCCAATATAGGGAACATATATCATATTACTGTAGTGAATAAACCATTTTTATTTAAATTTTATATTGTACACGTATATTACTTTTATTCATGAATATTTTCCTTTGGTTGCATCTTGAAAAATGTATAATCTAGGACATAATATACTATTCCCAGGTATAATATACTTAATGCTACATAAATTAATGACCAATGGAGAATAAATCAAGAAAAATTCGTTTTGTTATTTTTTAGTCCAGATTTTAATTTACTGTCAATCGGTGCGCAAGACTATCAACAGACAACTCTGAACATCAGTGCAGTTTGCAGTAGTATAAACAGAAGATACTGGCACATTTCTGTTTATTAAGTGTTCAATTCCTCTTTGTCTCAGGACTTTTATTTTGTGTCTTGGTCTCTTGGTGTATGGGAAACAGTTCTTCAAAAGATATGAGTGCGCCGGTAAAGGTTCTCCCAACAGCAAAACACACTGCATCGGTAAGATAGAAATAATTCAAATATTATCAATTTGACAGCTACTTAATAGTTGATCATAGTTCAATTTCAAATATTGCCATCTTTGTTTCCATTTGTATAACTTCTACAAATTGGAGGACAATCGTTATCCCTGCCTACTCAAAGCAAATAAAACGAATATGGTGTATTCTGTTCTGACTATAAATTATAAACTGTGATATATGTAAAATTTTATAATATTATTATGTATAATTTGGGTCCGTTTGCCCCTAAAACATCTTCGTACCCTACATGTTTGCACCCCACACTTTCACACTCCGCACATTTACCCTTTGGTTCATTCGCACCATACACGCTCATCCTATTTTTTTAAGATACAGGTGAAATGATTATATGTTTTTTAGATGTATATATCAAAATATTTGATAATTTTTTAATGTCATGGCCAAGTCAGTGTAAGGAGTTTATTAGCCATTTGGTGTCCCCCACGGTATAGAATCAGTTTTATGGAATTATGCCCCCTTTCAAAAATCCTGGATCGGCCCATATCATCACGACAGTATTCATTAATCATTTCTTCAAAATAATACACCTTATCGCTATTTAGTCCAATCTGGAAAAACAGTCACTTAGACAACTTCCTGTTTGGGTCAAGCGTTGCAAAAACAAAGGTCATCAGTAACAAGCTAAGATAGGAAAAAGTTTAGAAAGCAAACATTTTGAAACCTTGATAGATTATGATTCACTTTTTTTAAACACAAATTAAAGTAATAAAAATGTTTTGAATTGAAAAGTGTTTTCTATTTCTGGATGAAAAAGTTGTCTAATTTTAGAACTTATCTAGATTTGAATAAATACAATGAAATAGCGATAAGGTGTATTCACAAAACACTAAAGGAACCCTGTTTACGTTTTTAGTATGTCACTTTATTTTAAAACAATATAACAAACTTATTATCTTTATTTTATACACTACGGGTAACTAAAACTCGATTAGAAAAATATTCAAAGCAAAACTTTTAAAAAGGGTGCCAACAAGGTAGGAACTCGAAAGGGGGAGAACGTAAATCGGTGTTTACATGATTTTGGGCGAACAGACCCAGATTCATATTGTTAGTGTTGTATAATTGGAGATATAAAGGTAGTCTAACTGGTTGAGTTAGGGAAGATCTTTAATCTGTTAGAGCTGCCTTTAGATCCCGAGATTGAAGATTCAAATCTCCCTGGTACCATCCATGGATTTTCTCAATATTACATGTAGGTTACAATTTAGTATTATCCATTGCTTCCCCTTCTGAGTATTTCTGTTGAAACTCTCTTAGGGTGGCAGATAATAAAAATCTTTGAACTATCTGACCTGATCAACAGGACTCTTGCAGTCAGATTGGTGTTGCTTCATGTTTAGACATTTAAGTGTTCGAATTCTGTATCAACAAAAAAGTTTGTAAATAGGGAAATAGAAAAGGACACTGGTATCCAGAAATCGTTACTTCCAGTGACTGCACATAATCAATAATTTTAATATGATGTGCATCTTTTGCTTTGTAAACAACAACCTGATAAAATTCTCGATATATCTATACTTAGTGCAGACTGATCGAGAGATGTACATATTAATGGCTGTTACATTTACCTCCCACGTAAATCCACATGTTTCATAACCTGATAACCTATGTGCAAACATTATGTGGATTTCGTTGTGTGCAAAAAATTAAATATTTTTTGGTCGTATATTGGTATGACGTTGGCGTTGTTGTCGTCGTCGTCGTCCGAAGACACATTGGTTTTCGCACTCTAAGTTTAGTTTAAGTGAATGGATCTCTATGAAATTTCACCATAAGGTTCAATACCACAAAAGGAAGGTTGGGATCGATTTTGGGGGTTATGGTACCAACAGTTGAGGAATTGGGCGCCAAAAAGGGGCCAAAAATAAGCAATTTTGTAACTTCCAGACATAACTTGTGTGTTAGTGTATGGATCTCTCTGACATTGTACCACAAGGTTCCATATCACAAAGGGAATGCTGGGATTGATATTGGGGGTAATTGCCTCAAATTTTAGGAATTAGGGGGCAAAAAACAAGCAATTTTCTAGTTTCATGATAATAACTTGTGTATAAGTGTATGGATCTTTCTGAAATTGTACTACAAGGTTCCATATCACAAAGGGAAAGCTGGAATTGAGTTTGGGGTAATTGCCCAAAACGTTTAGGAATAACATGAATAAGGGGCCAAAAATAAGCATTTTTCTAGTATCCAGACAATAACTTGTGTTCAAGTGTATGGATCTCTCTCTCAAATTGTACTGCAAGGTACCATACCACAAAGGGAAGGCTGGGATTGATTTTGGGGGTAATTGCCTCAAAATTTTAGGAATTAGGGGCCAAAAAGGGACAAAAAACAAGCATTTTTATACAACCGTTCTAGTTTCAGGACAATAACTTGTGTGTAAGTGTATGGATCTCTCTGAAATTGTACTACAAGGTTCCATATCACAAAGGGAAAGCTGGGTTTGAGTTTGGGGATAATTGCCCTAAATGTTTAGGAATTTGGGGCCAAAAAGGGGCCTAAAAAAAACATTTTTCTAGTTTCCAGACAATAACTTGTGTTCAAGTGTATGGATCTCTCTGAAATTGTACTGCAAAGTACCATACCACAAAGGGAAGGCTGGGATTGATTTTGGGGGGTAATTGCCTCAAAAGTTTAGGAATTAGGGGCCAAAAAGGGGCAAAAAACAAGCATTTTTCTAGTTTCAGGACAATAACTTGTGTGTAAGTGTATGGATCTTTATGAAATTGTACTACAAGGTTTCATATCACAAAGGGAAAGCTTGGTTTGAGTTTGGGGATAATTGCCCTAAACGTTTAGGAATTTGGGGCCAAAAAGGGGCCTAAAAACAAGCATTTTCTAGTTTCCAGACAATTACTTGTGTTCAAGTGTATAGATCTCTCTGAAATTGTACTGCAAAGTACCATACCACAAAGGGAAGGCTGGGATTGAGTTTGGTGGTGATGAATCATAAGGGGGCTCAAAAAATTTGGGGGAGGGATTTTTTTTCCTTTTTTCCCTTTTTTTTTCTTTAAAATTTTCCATTTTAAATTGGTTATTTCTGATTTATATATAAAAGCAAATAATAATGATATGGTTTGAACAGGTAAATTAAAAAAATTTAAGTTCTTAGACCACATTCATTCTGCGTCAGAAACCTATGCTGTGTCAAATATTTAATCACAATCCAAATTCAGTGCTGTATCAAGCTTGAATGTTGTGTCCATACTTGCCCCAACTGTTCAGGGTTCGACCTTTGTGGTCCTATCAAGCTGTGCCCAGCAGGTAGCATTTTATTTCTTTTTTTCTTCAATTTCAGTGATTACATCTGTTGCTTTTGATTTTTCCTGATTTAAGATGGTTTCTGCCTCATTGCATATATAACTTCTTCTCTAGATTTGTTAAAAGACTATTTATTTTCTTGCAAATTTTTATAAATATTTTTTGTATGCTTTCATATTCTTCTTCGCCTCTGCTAATGTTTTTAGATTTGTTATTAATCAATTTATCCAGCAAATGTGAGATGGAGTTTTTCTGTAGACTGTATGGACTTTTCAATTTTTGTTTTCTCCACTACACTAGCTAAACGTTTTATTCCCGTACATTTTGAATGACTAGTGGAAATACATTGATCACAGCAAGGCATTAAATGACTGGGACAATACAAGATGAGCTGTTGATCATGTTTGTCACATTCTGCTCTGATAGCTTTGATTGAGGGTTTATAACTTTTTATATCAATAGTCTTATGATCACATGTTCCTTTAGATCTTTTGTGATGACCAGAACATATAGAACATAATCCTTCATCACAGTTGTGACACCAGAATTCAGCTTTAGTGTTTACTTTTCCTTCTTGACAAGGTCCACATGGTAAAGGTTTACTGGACTCCATGACCTGAACATATACAAGGCATGAGTTATTTTGTCTACTTGTCAAGATCCAAATTAGGTGATGATTAATAAAAGAAGATATCAATTGGCTATTAGACAGGAACTAAACAAAATAAAAAACATACAAACATTCTAGAGATCAACATACTGTCTTCAACAATAGACAAGTGAGCTGTGTCGGATAGAAATCGACCATATGCAAATGAATATCAATACATCTGTTTACTTATTTCGGGCTGATAAAAATCTCTTTGCAAAGTTTGTAATACTGTTTGAAAATTAAGTTAATATAAGAACCCTACCAAACAGACCAAAACTCAAATTTGATTTCGTGTTTGAATGTTCCATAATCAATCAAAGTGTTACACATGTACATGTACACGTGCACTTGCATAAGGTCGTTTTCTATCCGACACAGCTCAAGTGTTATAATATACTTAATTCCAAACTTGAATGAACCAAAGATCCTCCATCAACACCAAATCTTTTTGGAAAAAGAAAAACAAGATATAATTAAAGACATCTACTGACAAGGTTGCAGACAGACACATTAATAATTGGTGGGGGGAAAATAGTCTACAATAAAGTCAGTTCAGAAATATCACTGATCTCTTTAGTGCACAGGCTAGATGCATATAACCAATGGGACTATCAAAATTCAAAAGTCAAACTCGAGAAGAGGAAAAACAATACTAAACTTTGTATTATAGAATGCCTCGTAGTTGTCGTTTGTTACTAAATGTTATATTTGTTTTTCCTTATTGTTTTGTACATAAATCAGGCTGGCTTTAGTTTTCTAGTTTGAATTGTTTTACATTTTGCCATGTCAGGGCCTTATAGCTTATATGCAGTATGGGTTTTGCTTAGGGTTGATGGCCGTAGGGTGTTCTATAGTTGCTTACATCTATGTCACTTTGTCACTGGTGGATAGTTATCTCATTGGCAATCATACCACAAAGATGCTTCTTATTTGTATATTGCAGTTACTTAGTCATAGCTTTACATACTTGATTAGTTGATATAGACATGATAGAAATCATGCCTAATTACACTGTAATATTTGCCACTGTGTTTCTAGTT